CTGGCATAGAAACTGAAATAAAAGATTTAAATTCTTTTATGAAAACATTTTGATTACTGTTCGAGACAATGATAAAATATCTGAAGAAATTTTCCAGATCGAACCACTATTGCATATAGCTCTCATATAAACTGAACGATCAGAAGCGAGTTCTCGTATGAAAGCTTTTTTATTTGTAAAAGGATATTTTTTTCTTACTCTAAGTATCAACATTTTTTATTTTTATTATTATATCACTTAGTCGTTATCCCACTCTTTTTCCTCACAGTTGCTGGCCTTGCGTGTGCGCACCCTACTGCATGAAGTCCTGTCAGAATGCCAATCACTATTGTCCCAATTGCGACGCATACATTGGCACATACAGAAATTAACTGTAATAAACAAAACGAAAACTAACAAGCTAAAACATTACCTAGCATAAAATGAAGCAATATCTTTCCAAAAAAAGCACCAAAACGTCGAATTGACAAAAAAAGGTTCTAAGTTGAATGCTTTTTCAGGCAATTAAAAACATAAATAAGCAAGTTTAATGAAATACATGTATTAAAATAAATAACTGTAAAAATAAATATATACTGTAGGATTTTCATAAGACAATGTAAAACGTGGTTTTAGTCCTTGAAAATCGACTAGCGATCAGACGTTCACCATGCGCCAAATCTTGGAAAAGACCCGGGAAAAGAGAAACGACACACCCCACCTCTTTGCCGATTTCAATGCTGCTTTTAACAGCACGAAAAGGAGCTGCCTTTATGCCACTTTGTCTGAATTTGGTATCCCCGCAAAACTAATACGGTTATGTAAACTGACGTTAAGCAATACCGTAAGCTCCGTCAGGATCGAGAAAAGGCGACTCCCTATCGTACGACTTCTCTAATCTACTCTTGTAGAATATAGAAATATAGAAAAGTTACAATATTCTATAAGAGTGAAAAGCTGCTGACGTATGCCGATGATATTGGTATCATGGGCCTTAACAGTTCTGCCTTCTCTAGACTGGTAATTGAAGCGAAGCAAATGGGTCTGGTGGTGAACGAGAGCAAGTCAAAAAATCTCCTGTCATCAAACAAACATTCGTCGTACTCGCGACTAGGCACCCACGTCACTGTTGACAGTCATAATTTCGAAGTTGTAGATAATTTTGACTATCGTGGAGCCAGCATTAACAGCAATAACAATGCCAGTCTTGAAATCCAACGCAGAATATCTCTTTCCAACAGATGCTACTTCGGACTGCGTATGCAATTGAGAACAAAAGCAAACTCTATAAATCACTCATTAATCCCGATCTCTAGACGGTGCAGAGACATGAACGGTGACAACATCTGATGAGTCGACGTTGCGAGTTTTCGAGAGAAAGTTTCTGCAAAAGATTTATGATCCTTTGTGCGAATATCGCATTCGATGGAGCAAAGAACTGTATAAAATATACGACAACATTGATATAATTCAAGAAATTAAGAGAGAGCGGCTGCACTGCCTATGTCATGTCGTGGGTATGGTCGAAAACACTGCAACTCGGTAAGTATTCGACGCACTTATTGTGGAGCTTAGTTTTATCATTTTATACATTAATTTTGTGTTGTGGGCGTGGTATCTGCAGTAAGGAAATATGTACAAGTTTAATACGGTTATCTTAATTTTTACTGAAGTTATAGCTTTTACGAGCAGAGGGACGAACAAACAGTCTCAACTCGTATGATCATGCTGATTCTATATATATATATGTGCATAGGCGATAAAACTCTATAGCAGCTTGTTGCAGGAATATGAAAAAATATATTGAATCAATCTTTCAGGAAAGTATTTGAGAACCATAGCCTTTTAACACGAATACGATTGACTTTTTAGCAAAATTAATATTTTCGTCAAAGTCTTTGTGTATTGGGGGAGTCATATTAGAAATAAATTGGTTGTAAACCTTTCCTGGAATAAACATAATTTGAAACATAAGAATCCAAAGGATTGTACTTGAGGTTTAATTTTAAATATGTTCACACAAATAAGTAAATTTTATTGGGAAAAATAACGAATTTAAAGCTGCTTTCTCAATGTCTGGTTACCAGTCTTTCAAGCCTGTTAATAAAGTTGGCTACTTAATAGGGCATTCATTTAATAGAGCTTTCACTGTATTCTTTATTTATGAATTGTTTTTACTATCCTATCTTCTAAGTTCGTTCTAACTGGACACTATGTGCTAAACTTTACTAAAATCGGATGATCGGAGTCCATCGCGGACAAACAACTGGACACGTACTTTTTATATATAAAGATAAATAATATATACTCAATATAATAAACAATCTTAGTAAGATCATGTATAATACTTTCTTCATAATTCATAATTCCCTTCAAAGCTACAGACTTGGCCCAATGCACTATTACTAACGATTTTGTCAATCCTCGAAACGTTAATTGTCTTCAATCAACATACAACGGTTTTTCCAAAGCGTTCGTTTGAGTTTTCTGAATAACCAGAAGCTCACAGGGAGCTAAGTCATGCGAATACGGTGATTGCGTGACGACATTGGTTGAAAACTTGCTAAAATTTCAGGTAAAATCAATACAGTATGCGGCAGTGCATTATGGTGGTGCAAAAAAAAGAGTTGTCGGCCCATCACACCGTGCTTTTTTTTACGAATAGCTTCGCGCAAACGATGCTTAACACTCAAAGAGTATTACTTGTTGATACTTTGGCCGGTCGGAAGGCATTCGGAGTTAACCACAGCTCTATAATCGAAGAAAACTGTCAACATAATCTTGAGTTTTCACCTGCTATGCGTGCTGTTTTTGGCTTCGGCCCACCTTTACCACGATATCCGTCTGATTTATCGTGTATTTCCAGGTCGTAAGCATAGATCCAAGACTTATCGCTAGTAATAATGACATCTTGGTAGTCAGAAAGCATTGTTTTACAGGTGTTAACGAGACGCTGTCTTCCGAAAAAATTTAGTGACTTTAAACCAAATCGTGATTTCAATATCCTTAGGCCCAAATAACGACACGATTCGGCACCATAAATTTAATTCTGCACACAAAATTTAATGGAAATTTTTCGTTGAATAATTTCACCTTTACTTCCTTTAAACATTTAACCACTTTTTTCTAAGCAACCTACATATAAAAAATTACATTTTATATCTTCTCATTCTAATAACCGGTATCTTATGCAAATATATTTATGTATGTGCGTCTCAATAGAACATTAACCAAATGCAATAACAGTTTTTGGGAGCCTGAATTATGCACCAATAGAAAGCTGTGAATGTGTTAGAACCCAAAGTGCTCAGCACCGTGTTGCAGAGAAGCAGTCATACAGTTGCGGTCAAATTCTCAGTACAGTTAGCATTATTTTTATATATGTATGTGATTATACTTTTTAATTGCATCTTTTCTTTTGGAGTTCACTTTAAAATCCGAGCTTTAGAGGTCGACATGAAAACAAGTGTTTTTTCGCTTAACTTGTTGTTTTTGTTACGATTATTTGCAAAGCGTTTGCGGTCAGTCAAAATATTAGTATTGCAAAGAAATAAATTGAAACAAATGTTTGAAAAATTAAAATTATCTGAAAATTTTTGTGAACATTTGAAAATAACGGTAATATTCATTTATTTAATTGAAATTTTTGGTTTTAATATTAAAATTTTATTGTTCTTCATTTAGCTATATCGAAAAATAAGAAGTGTACGAATCGAGAAGCGCACTCTGATAAAAGAATGATTTCTGCGAGAAAAACTTATGTCGAAGTCCAAAATGGTACGCAACGCTATCAGGTACCAACCAACTAATATAAAAGGAGGAAGAAGTCAGTGAGAGAAGTCAGTCGTATTGTCAGATACTCAAAGCAATTTTCATTTGCGGCTGCTACAGAGTTAAAAGATACCTTTAATGTAGCTGCAAGTATTGAAAACACATGCCGGCGTTTTTGCGATCACGGCTCGAGCGCTGACTTCGATTCGCCAAAGAACATTTAGATTAGTCTTCTACAAAATTGTGGAACATTTTATGGTCGCACGAATCGAAGATTGTTAAGTATAGTGGAAAGAGATCGTGTCAATATTAAAACGTCCACCTAACACCAAATTCCAGCCGATGTATACAACTAAATCGGACAAACATGGAAGTGCGAGTGTCATCGTATGGGCACGCTTTTCTAGGTAAGGTGTAGTATTTATTGGATTAATATAAGTATGCCTAGTAATTCGTATGTTGAAATACTCCAAAAACCATGCTGCTGTATGAATGTGATGAAATGCCGCTTATTTGACCGTTCCCGCAGAACAACGATACCAAGCACACAAGTACAGTTGCTGATGTAAGCCGACATCGAACAGGAAAATATGAGAAGCTGTGAAAAACAGTTGGGAGTCTATTTCCATCGAAAGAAGACTCAATAAAATTAAGTTTCAATACTAAACAAGAAAGGTCACGCAACTAAATACTAATTTTATAA